TGCTGAGGAGTGGGACCTTTAAGAGGTCATTAGGTCTTGGGGGGGTCCGCCCTCATGGATGTGTTAATGCCATTACCTGATTACTTTGGGAGTAGGTTACTTGTTGAGGGGTAGATTCTTAATGAAAGGATGAGTTCAGCCCCTTCCTTCTCTTTCATGCTGTGCCCTCTTGTCCTTCCAATGACATAGTAAGAAGACCCTCAACAGATGCTGGACCTTGGACTTTCTTGCCTCCAGAATTGTGAGAAATAAACATCTGTTCTTCTAAATGACCCAGTCTCAGGTAATCTGTTACAGAAGCACAGAACAGCCGAGGGAGGTGTTGGCCTCCCTCCCCTGAAATCTAGGGGGCTTGTGACTGCTCCAACCAAGACAGTAGGGTAGAGGTGGGGCAGCCAGCTGTACAGGTTAAGAGGAGGGAGGCAGCTGCTGATCCGAAGAGAAAGGCTAGTGCAGGTCAGCAGAGCAGAGGAGGGAGGCCAATGCAGGTCACAGGAGGGAGGAGGGTGCAGGTGAAAGGAGGGAGGCTGATGCAGATCAGAGGAGGGGAGGGGCCAGGGTGGGTCAGAGGAGGTAGGCTAGTGCAGGTCAGAAGAGGGAGGCCAGCTGGGCTCAGTGGCTCAGCCTGTAATCCCGCTTGGGGAGGACGAAGTGGGATTGCCTGAGCCACGGGTTCGAGACCCGCCTGGGCAACTTGGCGAGATCTCATCTCTACAGTAAAATCAAAAAATGAGCCGGGTGTGTTAGCGTGCGCCTGTAGTTCCAGCTCCTTGGAAGGCCGAGGCGGAAGGATCGCCGGAGCCCAGCAGGTCGAGGCCGCGGTGGCCGGGAGCGGCCACTGCACTCCAGTCTGGGCAACTGGACTGGACTCCAACTCAAAAAAAAAAAGAAGAGGGAGGCCAGTGTGGGTCAGAGGAGGGAGGCCAACGCAGATCAGAAGAGGGAGGCCAGTGTAGGGCAGGGGAGAAAGGCTGATGCAGATGAGAGGAAGGAGGCAGGTGCAGGTCAGAGGAGATTTCTGCACAGGTAAGTGAGAGACGACAGTGCATGGATGGGGCAGTGGCCAGGAGGGAGGGAAGAGTCAGGGGGCTGGATCCAGGGAAAGGTATTCACGCTGGGAGCTGGGATGAGCAGAGGGAGAAGGAGCTGTCCTGGGGACTTCCAGGCCCCTTGGTGGCTCCATGCAGGTGTCACTACAACACTGAGAGCACATTAGGGAGAGCAACAGGCTTGGGGGCTCAGCCGGGGTAGGAGGTATGCTCAGGTTCTCAAAGGCATCAGACAGGAAGCGTCCAGGGAGAGGTCTGGGCTGGCCCCAGGCGTGGAGCAGAAGGTGTGGATGTTCCAGAGGCCAGGGAGGGGACAGGGGAGTGGATAGAACAGGGCCTGGGGGACATGTGCCCTGAGGGCCTAGGAGGGGAACTCCAGCACCACATAGACCTTGCTGGGGGCTCCCTTCCCACACTGTGTCTCATGGTCCTGGCCTCTGTTAGTCCCTGGATGATGCTCAGACCCCAGCACAGAGTTGGACTCAGCAGGTTGGGGCCGGGCCCAGGAGTCCACACTGCCCCCAGCATCCCAAGGGAGGGTCCTGGAACTGCACCTGGACAAGGCTGCCCCTGGGGTGGTCTGAGCTCAACTGCTGGCCTCAGCCTCTGTCTGGCCCTAGCCTTCCCGGGTTTCTTCACCACCTCACCACCCTCCTTCTTGCCTAGGGAGCAGTGCTCACTCCAAGAATGTCCCTGGTCCTGGCCAGCCCCTAACTCCTGCCCACTGTCCAGGGCACAGTTTGAAGTCTGAGTTGGCACCTCTCTGCACCATGCAGAGAGAAATGGTGCAAACATGCAGGGGTGGGTAGGCGGGAGGCTGGGAGGGTCAACAGGCCACAGATGTGTAAGTGGGTCAGTTTGGCCAGACAGACCTGGAACAGCCCCATTCCCTTGGGGTCACCCATGCACCCACTGGGGAAGGGACCTGAGAAAGAGGGGCAACTTCCTGTCCTGGTCCGGGCTCCACATTTCCACTTGGCACTGGGCCCCTCAAATCCTGCAGCTGGTCCTGTCCTGAAGGGACTTCCCAAAGTAAGCTTCCTCCCCTGAGACTGGCTCAGCGGGGCACTTTGTAGATCTAAGGCTTGTGTCTTAAGGGACCCCAAGGTGTCCCTGCGCACTGGGCCATGGCTACCAAGCTCCTAGGTGGTGGGTTCCCCAGGGCAGGGTCCTCACAGGCTCCCGCATGAAGGGGGGACTAGGCCCAGCCCTCCCGGGGCAGAGTCTGAGCCGCAGCCCACAGGCTTGCCTCCTGTCACCCTCTCGGGGCACCGCCCACTTTACAGAGGCAGAGACTGAGGCACAGGGAGGGAAGGGCGGGCCGGAGTTGAGGCAGAGCTGAGTGACAGGATTTGAGGCAGAGTGGGCAAGGAGGGCAGGAGAGAGAGGGCTGTGGATTTCTCAGCGCTGTCCTTGGGATTGGATGGCCTTTGGGCAGGCACCTCTTGTCCCCCTACTGTGAGCCAAGGCTACGTTTTTCCATCATCCTCACTCCCCCGAGGGAAAGTTCAACAACATTGACCTTTGGGTTCCCATAAAGCTCGTCTAGGTGAGGAACAAGGAGACCGATTCTAATTTCAATTCCACTGTGGTCGTGCTATGTGACCTCAGGGAAGCCAGTACCTCTCTGGTCCTTGGCCTCCCAGGAAGGAGGGCCAAGCGAGGCTCCTTTCTGCCCTGACCTGCTGTCTCCCTGAGCTGCTGCTGCAGTTACTCTCCTCCCGTCCACCCCTTGTCCTGTCCTGGCGCCAGATGGACACCCACTGGCTGGGCCTCTCTCCTGCTCTCTTGGCTTCCTGCTGCTCCAGACAGTGGGGCCTGAAGGTCACCCTGACACTTCGGTCCTGAGAGGGAGAGTCGAGTCCGGCCATGGTGGCAGCTGTGTCGACATCAGCACTGTCCTAACGTGCCCTCCTCCGGCCCCCCTGCCTGAACTCCTCACCCTGGAACACCTGCTCTCTCCCGGGGCCCACCCCAGGGCAGGTCGACAGGGCAGCAGAGTCACAGGGGTGTGCAGGGCTGCAGGCTGGAGGGAACCCTGTGCATTCCGCAGGGAGCAGACTCCCCCCAGACTCTCCAAGGTCATGCAGCTCCTAGGGAGCAGAGGCAGAGCCCTGAGCCTGCCCCTCCCCTCCCTAGCAACCAAGTTCAAGGCCCCCTCCCCGCAGGCAAGCCCGTCCTCTCTGGGTATCTGTAAAACATGGACAAGGCGCCAAGCCCAGGGGCTGTCCCCCACCATGCCTCGGTTCCCAGCTGTGTGGGAGAAAATTGGGGGTGATGGCTTGGCCCCTCTGTCTCCATGCCAGGCATTCCCCACCCCCAGCGCCCCTTCCAGGGGCTCCTGGATGCCTTCCAGCAGCTGCAGGCCTCTGGGCTCAGCCATGGGGCGGCTGATGCCCTCACACCTGCAGCCAGGAGGTGTCAAATCCAATTTGCTCCCTGACACTTCCTCTGGACACCCCTGGGGCCTGCCACTGCAGCAAGTCCAAGAAAGTGGCCTGCGGTTCTGGTCTGGGGGTGTCTGTCCACAGGTCCCCCTCCCCCGCACGCCATGTATTACTGCACCCTGCAGCCACCATCTCAATGGTGTGTCTCTCAGGCCCCTGAGGAAGAAAACAGCCAGGTATTCAGCTTCACAGAATCTCCAACCCTGATGAGCAGTGTTCAAGAGAGAGTTCGGAACAGAGCAGCCTGGATTGGAACTTTCTAGACTCTCCTCAGCAGAGGATGTGGGGCTGAGGGAAGGAGACGAGTCCTGGGCAGAAAGCAGCGTCCGTAGACATTGCCGGGATGGTCCCTGCAGGCCCACACTGACTCCAACTGTCCTGTGGGGTCTGGGGCGCTGGCCCCCACCCAGGTCCTGAGCCCTAAATCAGGGTCTGGTGAGGGTGATGGGGACTCCACAGTACAGTGCCACTGGGCTGATGGAACCTTGGCAGATGAGGGAGATGCTCCCCACGGCCCCATCCTGTTCATGGGTGGCCCCACCCCCTCACTCCTGGGGGGACAGGTGCAGGAGAGGGGGACCCCAGGGCAGACCCAGGGCAGGCTCTTCCTTGCCCAGGACCCCCTTCTCCACATCTCCAACATAGGGCTGGGTAGGGGCAGCAGAGAAACTACAGCCTGGGAGCAGCAAGGGACCAGGCCAGCTCCCTTTGTTTCCAGGGTGGGGAGAGTGAGGCCCCAGGAAGGGCAAGGGATTGTCCCAGGCTCGAGGAAGACGGGGCCGAACTCCCTACCCCTCAAGGCCTGCAGAACTCGGTGTGGTGGTCCAGGTAGCTCAGGCTGCCTCCTACAGGGAAGGTCCTCACTGCAGGGTGGGGGAGAGTTGGGCAGAAAACCGCACCCTGGGTTGCACCATGCAGTGCCACACACTGCCATGCCAGCTTCCCGCCCTGGTTCACCCCCGGGGAGGTGGCGAGACTCATGCCATGTCACTACCCTACCTGCGCACAGACACATCATACATACTCACAAGCTCACACAATACAGTCACATGCACACTCACACCTACACAGTCACAGTCACATGCAAACTCATACCTACACACGCACAGTTGCGTACACACAATCACACCTACACTACTCAGGCACACGTACACTCTCACACCTACATACACACAGTTACATGCACTCTCACATCATACAGTCACACAGTCACATGCACACTCACACCTACACACACGCATAGTCATGATCTTACACCTACACACTTAGTCACATGCATACGTCTACACATGGATGCACAGTCTCACGCACACTCAGCCCTATACACTCAGTCGCATGCACAGTCACACTCATGCCTGCACACACGTTCACGTGCACACTCACACCCACACACTTACCCTCATTCCTGGGCAGTATGTCACATCAGCCTCAGTTCCCACCTTCTCTCCCCTCAAACCCCACCCAGGCTCCACCTCTTGGGGTCCCCAAGCAGACAGAGGCACACTTCTCTAAGCAGAAGCAGTTTATTGGTTGACTCAGCTCGGGGGGCACAGAGGTGGGCAGGGCCAGCGCAGGAGACGGCAGCAGGTAGGCGTAAAGCTCTCTCGTGTCCATCGCAGGCCAGGTGATGCCATCAACCTACAACACAACAGGCCCCATCACCCCCCAGCTCTGCGCCGGGTGGTGTTCATGCTGCAGATGAGACGGTGGGGGGCTCAGCGGGGAGCCAACGGTGCCACAAAGTGGGTGGAGGGCCCCGGCCCTGGGCCCCACAGCATCCATGGGAGGCAGAGCCCCACTTCCCACCCACCCTGGAGGGCTGGGCACCAGACATCGAGAGATGAGGGCCAGCCTCGATGAAAACAGGGGCCCTGAGAGCGGGGCAGCCACCTGTGGCCACAGGTGGCAGCTCGGGCTCTCCTGGCCCTGGGCAGGCTGCATGCTGGCCTCAACTGCACGCCCCACCCT